CTGCTGCAAGCTTGCTACACGCGTACTATACAATTACTCCTGACATTTAATAAATATAAATAAGCACATATTTTACAGTCCACTGGCTGGAACACGTCTGCTCCTCAGCATAATGCTGAGCCAGGGCCACTTACAGCCACAACACACACATTACACACTTAAAATGTACCTTATTCATTAAAAAAAAAATCTTTTTTTTTATTTTTATTGTTATTATTTTGTGTATTTTGTTAGTAATAAATGTTATGTCTATGTCTGTCTAATTTTATGTCTAACACAGCGAAATTAAATAGTAGCTATGTATAGCTTTATTTAAAAACAGTGATAGTAATATTTTATTCTGCTTCAATTTATTTCACTAAACGGCAACAATATAATACATATATACTAAAACTTCATAAATTTTACATTGTTTAAAAATACTAATACAAGAAAATAAATATATATACTATGTATAACAAATTAAAAAAATGTAGGTACAGTAAAATAAGACCATTATTTTACTGTACATCTTTTATAGTATCTCAACCATTTTTATTAAAGACACTCATAAATGCTACTCTAATTTTTTAATAATAATTTTACCATTTTGAATAAATACTTGTTAGTACACAATTCATATTTTTGTGTGTTCGATATCTTGGCAACGGATCGCGTGTGCCTACGAGACATCTTTTCGAGTTTTTACTGCTAGGGACATATTTCGAAATCGATAAAAATGGTTTGTAGCATTTGTTTTTCTACGAGTTATTTTCCAAACAACGCAGTTCATCGTAAAATAATATAAACATTTGTAATACATTTACATTCGATTCTTCAACTTGTATAGGAGTTTGTCAAGAAAACTTAGTAATATTTTGTACTAATTATAAACTTTATTTGTATTTTAGCAATGCTTTTCCACCTTTGATTACGATGTAAAATTAAGATAATTTTTAAGACACATTATTTTTAAAATAATAATAAACAAAGTATTGACTTAAATAACATAAAAATTTGTTCCAATATGAGAATGTAGTTTTTTTAATCAAACTGTAATATGATTTGTCGTTTCAGTAATTTATAATTGAGGTTGAAATAATCCCTTTTTAAGAATGACGTGAAACTTACGTGGGTGTAACATTCACAGGATTGAATTGAGCGGAAAAAAAGTAGCCAATGGGTTAGTGTGGCCTTCACGTTGATTACGACTGAACTTTTATAATTATAGGGCTGGTCTTAGATTGGCGCCGTTGAGGTCAGACGGTAATATAAGTAATGCTATAATATAAATAAATCTTAAACAGGTAAGCATAACATATTGTGGTGCTACGCAAAGTCTGTTGCAGAAATTGCTTATTTCGATGCATTTAGGTCCAATATGGATAAAATATGCGGTAAACTAATATTTAAAAAAAATCCTCTTGAAAAGAAAGAAGGGGAAAAGATATGCTGCCAAAAGATACGTACAGTAAATTATTTACTAAAAGACATGAAAAAGAATGTCGAAAGGAGAAGAATAACCTTTCCTAATATATCATATATTTTAATAAATAAAAGGAGATTTTTTCACCATATTTCAAATGTGTAAGAAAACTTGGCTGTATCTTACGGAAAATATTATTCTCAGGAAAACTAAAATGGCTGTTAGGCAAAAGCAAATTACTAAGTCTGGTATTCCGTTTGATATGCTTGTCTAAGTTTTTTAGGATCTTATGTTATATTAAGAGAATTTTGTTTAATATAAATAATATAAATAGTGTCTCTTTGAAAAATTATTTGTAAATATGCACACATGCAGGTTAATATCTAGTTGATATTATTAAGAGTCATTTCTCACTATCTGTAAGGTTTTTGTAAACACGTTATATAATATAAATATAGCTACTATGTTACATTATGTACCTTTAATAATAATCATTTATTGGGAATAATATGGTACAAAAATATTATGGTAATACAATATAAATTTTGCGAATTCTGTCACACATAATGGCGTGCAAATTTGTCTTACATAGTTAAAAAGGTAGAATTTTACATACCTAGTAGTTACATAAAAAAGATTACATTATCAATCATATATCATATCATAAGTCATAACATTATTAACTACATTATTTTACTAAAATATATGATTGCACTATCAAATTAATATTAATTATAATGTTTCCCTCAAATAATAATAGATTTTTTTGGTCAATTATTATAAGTGGTAAAGTGGGTTTTCATTACAACTCCAGATTTTTTTCCAAGCTAATATAATATACAACATATATTGTTTTTTCTCACTAGGCAAATGTGATTTTGCTACTATAAAAATGAAATTATGATATTCAGAACCGTAGTATATAAATACAAAACTGTATTAATTACTGAATAATATAATTAGTTTTTTTTTAAAAATTAAGTTTAACCCATGTTCACCTTTTCTTGTGTACTTTTAGAATAAAGTCTACATTAGAACACTGTCTGAGTGTAGATCTATTAGCTTCATTAGGCATTCAGATCACTATGAATGTAACCTGAAGCTATCTGTAAGGGCAGCCAGCTGCAAGTACTACCTTCTTGAGTGGCATCTAGCAAGTAAAATTATATGTTGTGCTTATTTGCATGTGCAACTCTCTGTAACGTTAAGTAAATATAAAAAAAATATTTAAGCCGCGAATAAATTATCGTTATGTAATTTTAAATCCTTCTTCTTAAGCGAACTAAATTTTTCGATTTGCCTAAACAGATTTTACGTTTCGGACTTCGCTGAATTCTAGTTCAACCTAAGTATGCTGTAAAATAATAAAAATTAATTAATTTTGGTATGATCTTTAAAATAATCGTTATTGTCACTTAAACACTTTTGTTCAGGTACGTTACCTGAGAAGAGCAATCCAAAAAACTCAGGTTTATTTCATTTCATGCTTTCAATTAATATTTCTAATCACTGCTATAACTTATACTCGTTCAATATTTATTTATAGAATATGATTGTATCGGGTCGGGAAAATTTAAGCTTTTGTTTTGTTTCATGAGTATTTTGGTGAACGGATGTTGAATAAGCATTTTCATATCTAACTAGTCTGGCCATAAATACTGTTACATAAAAACTATTTTTTCTTTTTCAATTTTTTTGAATTTGGAACACGTATATTATTTTAAAAACTTCTTTCGATTTTGCGCCATTACACATATTTTTTCGTGTTCATTATCAAATTACAATATAGAATAGGGTGTTAAAGAAAATAGTATTGCAGTGATCGCCTTGCAGAAAGTGGGTATGGAGCCGTCGGTCATATTCCAGACACTATAAAAGCTTGGTATCAGCCGTATATTCGTATATCGTACTATCAACAGATACAACTGCACTACGTCTGTCAAAGACCAGAAAAGATCGGGGCAGCCGCTTGTAGTTAGAACTACAAAGGCTGGTTATGCTTTTAAAGCCAGAAATCGAAACCCCATTAGGAAACAAAAAATCTTATCGCGAAAAATGAAGATTCCCGCTAGGACTCTGTTGCGTATTACCTATAAAACAAGACCTATATATACAGGACCCTAAATCAATTTTTTTTCTGCACCTGGTCACAAGGCACGAACTACCCAAGCCTGGCTAGAAACGAACGTTCCGGACTTTATTTAGAGCTGAAGACTGGCCCTCATCTAGCCCAGACATCAACCCTTTAGACTTATAATTAGTCAGTTTTTGAGGTCATGGCCTGCTCTAAACTACACGGCGACATTGAGTCTCTTATAAAATCTCTGGAGCAAGCAGTGGCGAAATTTTCTTTGGATACGGTGCGTAAATCCATAGATTCGTGGCCAAACAGATCAAAGGCCTGTAAATACGTAGTAAGCCAAAGGTTGCCATTTCGAATATATTTTTTTCCTTTTTTATGTTTTTTATATTTTTTTATGTTTTTTTTATTGCTCAATGGACACATTTATTTTAAAAAAGTTTATAAATGGCTGATTAGTCAGTCATAGTTATAAGAAATATATGGATGATATTTCTTACTTTAAGTGAACACAAATAGGATAACATATCATGATAATTACAACTTAGGCACTTAACTAAATTGGTTCTCGTAAAAGTTCATATCATTGTCGAGATAGCAATGTTCCCGTTTCAATGTTATCAATATGGATATTTGTTTAACGTCGGGTTCCAATATCACATACTTATCAATTGTTTCCGTAGTTATTATTATTTTTTCGTGGTTACGATAACCTAGCATTGTAATGCAAAATTATGTGATTATAAGTCTTAAATAAAAAGTACCAGCCATTGACTACGGCTTCGCTTAAGCGTAAGTAGATGCTTATAAATAATAAGATTCCATACAACCACTCATCATCGTCATCTTAAAATATTCTATACTGCAGTGCAGTCCAAAAATCCTGAAAATGGGTTTAATTTATAAATTGCAACACGCGTAAAACTACAAGAACCGTTCTGTTCGCTTCTAAAAGAGCCGAAGATTCTGCGTTCATGAATCATCCGAAACAAGTAGCTTTATATAGATGGTCAAAATGTTCTTGGCTTTTTGTTTTCATGCTTAGCATTAAAATTAGAAAAGATTGCTTACATATAAAAAAATCCTGTTTATGTATAATGACAACAGGAAGAACTTGACGAAATGTAGCTTCATTGTCGTTTATGTCTAAATGATGGAGTGATTGAAGGCTCTGTGGTATAGATAGTCGCGTATATAGAGGCTACCAAAACTTTAAAAAACCAATCGTTTCGTTTGATTCCCATAAAGATTATTTAATTTTCTAGCGTTCCAAATTTTAATCATAAAAAATGTTTTTAATTTCCCTATGAGACCAGCATCATTTAATAGTAGTTGCTGGTAAAAATTTAATAGTTTATTTATTATTAAATGAGATATAAAGATCATTAACATTTATATTATTATCTCAGTTTTTATTTATAAGTTCTAAAACAACATGTATGCTTAAAAAATACAAGAAAATATGACATTGCAAATTTTACACATACACACATCAATTATATCACAACATAGAAATTACAAACAAGCGAGCAACGATTTTATAACTTTACATACCGGATCAATGATTCCAGCCATAGGAACTGATACTATATCCTCTCCTCCTGCAGCTACCAGCTTCTCCAATACCTTGAGGGTTTGTTCCACCGCCGACCACTCTCCTTTTTGTGCCAACACCAAGATCTTTGCAGCAGCCTCCCGCATGTTAACTCCGGCACTGGGAGGCTTAGGGACATCCGGAACGCTGATGTCCTTAGCCTCCTTCTTATCTCCATTATTTGAAGACGTTTCATCTTTCTCTTCAGGCTTAGCTGTTTTATCTTCATCTACTGGTTTCTTAGGGGGACCCTTCCCGCCTTTCTTCCCTCCTGGGGCTTGCGACATAGTCACATAACCTAATATTCACAAAACACTTCGCGATACATGACTAGGGCGGGCGAATCGCTGGGCGGGCGGATTATAACTGCGGCAGTTGCGTAGCATGGTCGACTTCTTGCATGATTCAAGTAAATAAAGGCGGCGGCAACGCGAACTGGCTTTACAAACAAACTTACGAAGTCGATGTCTTAGAATGTCTCGTGCAGTGACCCATTTTTAAATTTGGTAGCTGGAGGGGTGATAATACATGATTTATCCTTCTGAGGCACATGTTCTGGTATAAAGCAAAACTCAACGTTAGTTCACCTGTGTGAAACATAACAATATTTAGCACTAATATTTTAAAATATACTATGGAGGAACACACAGCATTACAAAAATCGCAAAAAATAAAAAGTATTCCAATGATATACTATAAAAAAGTTGTGACTCACAGCTAACACATACTAAAAAAACTAGTTACGGTTAAAATTCGATTGATACTTTCAACTCTTACTTGATACAAATATAACACTTAAAGCGTTCATAGTAAGGCAGCAAGAATAAAAGGGAATAAAGAAAAATTTGCATGTTTCGTCACAAGGCAGCGTCGCGTGCGGAGCTCGCTTCCGGAGGGGACCCCATGGCCTCGATTCTTATGTTAGGATCAGATAGCGAAAGAAACCAGCGATATGTAGACCTTAGTGAGACAAACCATACGTCTCAGTGACTGACCTAAGTAATTATTAACAATCACTAAAACCGAAAAGGTTTTGGTATTGCAACGTTTAATTTATTAAAAAGATGTCGTCTGTCAAAGGGTCAGTGATGTTTTGGCCTTAAAAACTAACTACCCGACATTGTTTCATTGTTAGAATAGTATATTTGCTTAATAAAATTAATATTGTCTACTAAAACAAATTATTTAAATTTGTAGTAGTTTTCTATTTATTCTTTAATTACGAAAATATTAGTAATTATAGTTAAGGTCATATCAAAATATACGTTTATAAAAATTTTCATGGTGATCTGATTATTTTTAGAAGAAAAACGAAACAAAAGAGTATTACGTTTAACTGATATACGTGTACTAACTATTACTACTACTTATTTGTGAATTTAAGGATATATGAGTCATGTTTTTGTTTTTTAAACCCTTGAATTATAATAGTCTTACCAATTTGTAACTTGAAGAAGTTACAAATATTTTACCTAGATGGTGCTTTAAAAGTAATTTTTATCACACCTATGTATAAAAGTGCAAAGTAGTGTAAAGTGTTCAGAGCCAGAAACTAAAAAACATTAGCAATAAATAACAACACAAATCATAGAATTATTTATTATCTTTGTTGGTTCAATAGTTATCACAACATTGATATCGTATTTTGTAGTTCCAAACAATTTTTTGTACGCCTAAAATTTTGTACCCATACTATTTATTAAATTAATTGTATTACATAACATATTGCAAACATTACTAAAGCTAGCAGAAAAATCATAAAATGTTAAAGAGATACGATTTTAACTAAAATAATTCAATAGATCGTAATTCTCGCAAAAATGCACTTCAATTTTCTAATTCCTAACCACACAAAAAATTGAGACTGTCTTAGTCCTTCGCTTTCGCCTTTAAAGATACATAATATCATAATTCAAGAATGAATAGAGAGATAAGTATACTCAGACATCTGATTGGTCAAATGTGTCAAAGTACAAAGGTCATATTTGCATATAAATATTATTATTATTATTGTAAACGAGACAAATTTACTATTGTTTTTCTCTGACTGTAAACGATGATAACAATTGATAAGTCCATGCTGCTTGTTGTAATATAATTTAGTCTTTAACGAACGTTTGCTGTATTAAGTAATCATGTTTAAACGTAGCATGTTATTTAAAAATATAAATTATAAACAAATCAGGTATGTCAAAGATACATTTTGTTTGTTTGTAAAATAATATAATGTTTGATTGTAAATGAAAACAGGTTCCTAGTTAGTGAAACAATAAGAGAGAACAAAGTTAGTGAAGAAGTAATGTTTGGTTTGTTGAACTTCCAAATATGTATACAAAGATGTTTGTATAAACCTAGGAATGAACGAAATCCCATCATCACTTTTCTTTCTTATTTTTTGCCCTGGTTACCTCTGTTACTCTTAGCTCTCTCTTAGTGCTGGTTCCCTTTAAGATATAGTTTATTAGCGATAAGGCTTGCTATTGCACTCAGTCTTTCTAGTATTCGTATACACGTGTGCAAGAAAAATAAATATAATTGACCCGTGACTTAATATAATTGTGTGTGTGTATTTAAGTGAGCTATCTACGGGCACTGAAAATTCCAGTTACATAAGGGGAATCAATTATTTTAATTCTATATGTCTCATGTAATATAAACCTCGATCTAATAAAAAAATATCTAATATAGTATAAATTATTTTTATAGTAGCATTAATTATAGATGTTCGTCACGATTCTATTGTTAAACTTTGTATTTTTACATAACATTAAATACTTGACATGAATAGTTTAATTAATGCGTAATACATTCAACAGTACAGTTGATAATAGCAATTAAATTTGTCATTGCAGGAACCATAGAAAACTAAATTTTTTTAGTCCGCTAAATTGTCGCTACTACTATTCCTCTGTTTAGGTATAAGTTTTTATAAAGTAGTTGTTTTTGTTGTTTAATTAATATAATTGTGGTTCATGGCTTTTTATAATATACAATATGCAAAGTACTAATGACTGAATACTTCACAAAACAGAATACAATAGGTGAAATCAGATTGTCACACCATTGTTTTCCGTTTACAGACTTCTTCACCAACTGCAGCTGGATAAAGGGAGTTATTTGTATCACCCAGGTAATGAACCTCTAAATTCCGCTAATTTCGGGGAGGTCTTCGAAAGAACGGTTAACAAATATCCCAATAGAATCGCCATCAAATCTATTCATGAAAACCAGATTATCACTTATGCGGAATTATTGGAACAGGTATGACATATAGAGAAAATATCGATACTATTTTCTCTTCTAAAATTTTCATAAATACTGTACGAAATGTGAAATTAGAATAGAAAATTAAAAAATTGTATACAAGAATTCATTTAATTAACATATACAGCCTATACCTAACGAGAATCGTGCAATTTGGCACGTTAATTAATGTCAAGCCAAAGAAGAGTAGAGATTTTTTTTTTTTTTTTATGATAAACTTACTTTAACTTAAACTTACTTTAATTAACCCCAACCCCAATTTAATTAATAATAAGAGAGATAATTGGTAAAAGCTACTTTAGCGCAAAAAAATCAGTTTGTACGAACATATCTCTATAAAACAACGTTTTTTAAACTAAGTAAATAAAAAATTTCTGTCTGAAAATATTACACATCTTATTTCAGGCGGATTCCCTGGCGTATGGACTTAGAAATAATGGTTTTGAAAAAGGTGACCGATTTGGTATTTGGTCTCACAACTGTGCGGGGTGGATTATAGCATCTATAGCAGCGTTCAGGGCTGGCCTAATATCTGTATGTTATTTGAGAATTTAGATTATAAAAGGAATAAAGATCTTAAAGCAAATACATTTTCTGTAATAAGTCACATATGCGTAGCTTCCATCTTGTCAATTTTACAAGGAATCCATCAAATTTCGTGAAACAATGAATGTAGTGAAAATACAACCCCCTAAATAAATGACCCCTCCTCTAAATACCTCTAAAATTACTTTCAATTTCAGGTGCTAATTAACCCCCTTTACGAAGCTCCAGAATTAAGTTACTGTATAAATAAAACGGGTTTAAAGGGTCTTTTAGTGGGGGATGAATTACCAAGTAAAAACTATTACAAAGTGTTGCAACACATGATACCAGAATTGGCGTCAGCAAAGCCGGGGAACCTCAAGTCGAGTAAATTTTCCAGTTTGACAACACTCCTTACGACTGGAAAGATGAATTTGAAGTGAGTGAAAATAATAATTACTTATGCAGACGTTGATAAATTCTAGCTGAATTGTAATACTAATCTAATCTAAGCTTTAGTTGATAAAGACTAATGCGTTTACACTTACATACCCTTACTTTTACACCCTCACACATATCTGCCAAATTAGGTATTACTTAGTTAAATGTATTGAATAATATTTATTGTTTTTGTCCGTTTTGTAAATGTTTAAAACTTTCTGTCGGTAAATATTATGTAGGTATTCTATCTTTAGCTATATTTTCAGTGTAAATGTTTGTTATTATATATAATTTTTGTTAGCTGTAGGATTAAGATAAAAAACGTGTGCGTACTGATGTACACGCGTTAGAAGTTATACTTCTTTGGCGTAACAAGATAAAAAATGTATTCTACGATTGTAGAAAAAACGACAATACCAATAGAAAAAACTAAAATTTTGACTATAGCTAAACTTCAGGGTATCGGTTTTTTGTGACGGTGAGCGCACGCATCGTAAATATACTCTCATCATTTTTCCCTAACGCGCCAAAAGAAGTGTAACTTCAAAAATAAATTAGACTGTTCATACTTATAAGGTCCCATTAACAAATAAGTAAGAGAATTATCACACACAATTTTATTTAAATTTCGTGCATTTGATTGTATTTATAATGCAAATATTATTTACTTACTTAATCTGCTGGCGCAGCGACCCAAAGTGAGCCTTGGTATTCGAAACTGGAGAACGCTACCTTCGCCCATCGCGCTACCGCTTGTCAACCGGAATAAATAAATATTATTTAAAACATTGCGCGATAGTTTTCAATGTTGATGTAATTCATTTGTCATTTAATAAATATTTTAATAAGTATAGTGTTTGGTATCTTGATACAACGCGATGATCATGAAATTAAAACTATTTTTATGAAATTTTCAATTTCAGAGGTGCCTTTACATTAGATTCGTTAATAAACGAATATAAGAATAACGATGTTTCTCAGTACGTGAAAGAAGTTAAATCGGACGATGGCTGTTTAATTCATTTCACATCAGGCACTACTGGTGGGTGTGTATAATTTTCTTTTTATGCACGAACCTATATGTTTAAATGTCTTTATGTATGAACATAATAATTGATTTACAATTAAGGCAGCTAGATCCTTACGCTGGACAAAAAGTCTATATTAAAAGCGAATTCCCTGTTTAATATACGCTGATATGCTAAGTTCCTATTTAGTAGTTTTACTGTTTGCTTGTGTTTTTTTCCTTGCTAGTTTGTCATTTTTATGTTCTAACTTGATGTGAAAAATTGTGACGTCATATTTTCTTGTATTTTTTAAGCATACATGCATTAATAAATTAAAATATATTACCCGTATCTTTTAATCCAATATTCAACGCAAATTTTAGTCCAGTTGTTGAGGTTTAAATCAGATAAGGTCTCTCATCCCTGAGGTCGTAGGTTCGATCCCCGGCTGTGCAACAATGAACTTTTTTTCGATGTGCGCATTTTAACATGCGTTCGAGCGGTGAAGGAAACATCGTGAGCAAACCGGCTTAACTTAAACCCAAAAAGTCAACGGCGTGCGTGAGGCACAGGAGGCTGATCACCTACTTGCCTATTAGATTAACAAATGAACATGAAACAGATACAGAAATCTGAGGCCCAGACCTAAAAAGTTTGTAGTGCCATTAATTAATAATAATAATTAATACTTTATTATTTCAGGATATCCCAAATGTGGATTAGATTCAAACCGAGGAATAGTTAATAATACGTACTTCTCGGGAGTAAGAAATGGTTTCAACGAAGCACATGAAATTATTTGCGTACAAGTGAGTTTATAATTTTAATCTTTTAATGTTTACTAATAATGCAACATGCATACATTGGTGTTGGGGCTATGATGAAGAAACAGATCAGATTTTTTGTTAAAACAGTCAAATAAGTTAGATTTTAATTATACGTGGACTGAAGTAGGTTTTAAAGTACTACTATCAACTATAAAGTGAAGACGAGTAAAAATCGCGTACGCTGTATACATATATTAATCCTGTTGCTTTAAATATTTTTATTTAACTTTTCAAACGTAATTTTTTAGACAATTTTCAACAGCAATAAACATTAGTAAAGATAATAACGTGATTTTAACTTAGTCGTAAGTTAGTAACATTATGTTTATCAGTTCAGACGAATTAAAACTAATAGATAAAAAAATTATCCTTATCCTATAATATTAGGATTAAAACTATTGTTTATCACTATTTAGTCAATAAAACTTCTTTATAAGTAATCTATGTTTTTCTATGCCTATCGTACTCAAAGGGTTTAATGAATTAATCAAGCGAACGACCAACAAAGCATTTTGTTACATCCTAGTCATGTTATAAATTCGAGTTTTGGATGGATATTTGTGATTCATTCACCCAACATTCACTGGACAAGGAAAAGCCTATTTATGTTGATAATAATTGTAACAATCGATTAAGACATCAACACTAATATTGTTATGAGATAAATTTGGTGAGGTTGTCGGTGTAATTTCTAGATCATCGTTTCTCAAGCGGGAGGTCGAGTTTATTGAAAATTAATAAATACAAACTTCATATACCTAGGTACAAAATATTTGTTTGTTAGAGGAATGAATAATTATAGTATTATATAACTAAACATTAAGATGTAATAAATAACTTATTTTCCTTAACTTTTTGGCCTTTTCGTGGGTCGCGACATAAATGGTTGAGAAACGATGCTCTAGATATACTGAACCGATTTTGACCCTTTCCAATAGAAAGCTATAATTGTTGTAGTCTATATATTAACCCGAAAAATTAAAAGACTTTTTCGTGTTTGTCAAACGAAAACGTTTCTTACGAACGGTGAGAGAGATATGATTGGGTTCTACAAAAAAGTGCCTACAAAAAAGTCAGGGAATATAAACATAAGGCTATGTTCAGATGGCAAAAATTTGACGCGCGTTTTCAAATCGCGCGACTAGACATTGTGGTATTTTCATATAACTGTTCACATGAGCGCGCGTTAACGCGCGTTAGCGAGCGTTAACGCGGCGCTCAGAGAAAAAGTCTCTAGACGCAGGTGATCGCGCGTTGACGCGCGCTTTGATATTAATGTAATGTCCGTTTGCTGTTCAGTTGAGCGCGCGCTTTCATCGCGATCGCATGTAATTTTGTTAATTTTCGTAATTATATTTATAACAAACTGGGTCTATTTTTCAAAATTGGATGAACCCAATGTGTACGTTTTCTTTTTCTATATTTTTCTTTATAATATAACCACAAAATAATTGCCTCTTCCACGTCCATTTTCTACGTTCAACCGAACTAGACTGACGAGTACTCTTGCAATGCGCATTTGCATTAGCGCTCATCATCTGAACTCTCTTCAAATTTGATCGCGCGTTACGTGTGAACATAGCCTAAGTCCTCTGCCGCGTCTGTCTGTTCACGATACACTCAAAAAATAACTGTGAAGTAGCACGGAATTCATTGCGGTTTTCACCAATATCTAGAATGATTCAAGGAAAAGGTTTAGATATATGACATTTCAAGCCAGGAGTAGTTAGAATATCTAGGCCTGTGCTTGATGCCGATACTTAACAAATCATACGATGCATTAACGATTTACAATTGTTTTTGTCAGGCTCCACTCTTCCATGCCCTAGGATCTGTGATCACCTTACTGGGCGGGTTCACACATGGCGCTTCCCTTGTACTGGCGGCGCCATCCTACAGCGTTACGGCTACTGTAAACGCATTACTTGCTGAAAAGTATGTATGGATAGTTCTTAAATTTGAAGATTTTTGACACCGCTAGAATCTTTGAAATTATTTTTAGCTGCATGCATTTTTCTTACCACTTATTACTTACTATATTTATTAGAGGCAACCGACATGTCTTAGACCCAAGAAGTTGACGGCGTGTGCCAGGCACAGGAGGCTGATCACCTACTTATTAGATTTAAAAATGATCATGAAACAGATTCAGAAATCTGAGGCCCAGACCTAAAGGTAGAGGTTGTAGCGCCACTGATTTTTTTATCCTTTTATTTACATTGGCGTTTGTGATTTCTCTGACATTTTTCAGATGTACAGCAATAACGGGAACTCCAACAATGTATGTGGACATTCTCTCTAAAGTAAAGAGTACAGGTGATTTACCTATTAAGCTACGGATGGCACTTGCAGCCGGTGCACCTTGCAGTCCTGAACTCATACATCAAATGAAGAAATACCTAAATGTTCAATCAGTCAAGGTATTTTTTACAGCCTTGGTGGCTTAGATTCCTATGTTTACAGCTATATACTGCGATATTTATTAGTATTATTTAAATATTTTTTTAATTCTTCGAATGTTAAATAAACTTTTCAAGAAACCCAAGAATCGATTATAGAGTCGCAGAAAGGATCGATAAGAAACAAAAAAGAGAGTCTTATGAAAAGAGTGCCTAAAATTACTAATTTTTTTTAATCAAACATTATCGCTCGTTCCCATATCAAACTAATTACATTACAGGCTCTCTATGGTATGACAGAAACTACGGCGAGTGTTTTCCAATCACTCCCTGGTGATAATGTTGATGTTGTTGCTGAAACGGTCGGCTACATTATGGATCACGTAGAAGTTCAGGTATCAGATGGCGTATTTATCCTATACTTAATATTAAAAATCTGAAGAGTTCGCTTGAAACTGCTGTTTTAAGTAAATTATCCATTTATGGAAAAAGGCTACATCACGTGACGACCAATCAATTAAAAATGGTACTAAAGCGGGAAAATGTTCGAAATAATTACTTTATTTAGAGCTTCCGTCGCGTAAGCTGCGAACACTTAAAATTACTCGAAAATCATGCAATGAAAATCATTTCCTTTTAAAACATCTGAAATGGTTTGATTTATGTAAAATTTACGCAATTAACAATTAATATTGTTGGACGTTTCCAATTTTGAGGGGACTGAGCTCTCTCACTCACTTCATAATAATAATTCTTTAATATATATATATATTCCAAGCACAACACACTATTACAACTTTATAACAATCATTTATGTTTATATATCAATAGGTTGTTTCACTGTCTGCGTTTAGTAGAGAAGTATATTTTCATAACAGAAAACAATCATTTTATATAAAATTTAAACAGGCATTCCAATATTCTAAACTAAAACCTTTTCTTCACATATGACAAGTGTTGCCTGCCATTATTTACATATTCAAACTCCAACAAATATGACTCTTAAAACTTGGATTGAACATAGATTGAAGAAAATCCAAGAAAATCTTTGGTTTTTGATCTGTAGGATGTTTTTACTCGAATAATTATATATATAAAACGATTGAACAAGAAACATCTTACAATGCTTTCGAAACTATTAAAACGTTTTTTTTTCCTTTTAAATCCAATGTAGTTCCAATTATATAGTTTTTGTAAAGTAAAGATTAAGAATAAAATGCAAATTAATACTTTAACAATGTTGAATGCATGAAAAGGTACATACATACTTGTGTAAATTTTATACAAGTCCTAGTTACGAAAAATGCAATGATTTTACAAAAACTTCAGATACTTACATAATTTTTTGTAAAATCCTCGCAAAAAAAACCTAAAAAACCTGTTATGCAGGTGGTAGATAGTAATGGAGTTAGGGTTCCATTCGGCGAGGCGGGTGAGCTGATGGTCCGAGGTTATTTGAACATGATTTCATATTTTAATGATCCAGAAAAAACAAAGGAAACTATTACCGATGACGGATGGTTGCATACTGGGTAAGCGGTATCTATAAAACGCATTACATTGATTTTTTTATCTTAATAAGCCAGTTGATCAGCTTTCTGTGACACGCACCGTAGATTTTTGGCATTCCTCGTGATGTTTATCTTCCCAAAATAAAAAGATTTATGGTGCACAGCCGTGATTCGACCGCACGACCTCAAGGAATCGCACTCACACGCATAAGCTGTTCCCTGTTCAGACTGAGTATATGAGACATGATTAAAACTATTCATATTATATTGCATATAACATACGAGTAAATTTTTTACTTGTCATTTTTCAATACGTATATATTCTCATTATATATTGCTACAAACTGTTATAAAATGCAAATTATTCTCTGTTAATCATAATACGAATTTATTTATTAAGCCCACACGAACGACACAAAGTCGAGAGCAAAAGCACTGATGCATAAAAAATACCTAACCATGTAATTATTTAAGGGACAGATTCGTAATTTCCCCGAATGGATACGGGCGTATAGTTGGTCGCATAAAAGAAATAATTGTGAGAGGGGGAGAAAACATAGCACCGAAAGAAATAGAAGATTTGCTAAACACCCACCCTGATGTTATTGAGAGTCAGGTAAGCGAGATCTTGTGTTCTACGTAAGACAATTCACTAGTACTGTATGTAATAATAATCCAGTGACCCTTCATGTATGGACTTAGCGTCAGATCACACGTCTCTTTGATCATTTTTCTTTTATAGCCAAGTAGGTGATCCTTCTGTGCTTGACACATATAGTAAATTTTGTTTCTAATATATGGCGGTACCCGCGTTGCGAGCGGTTTTCTTCTATTTGTATCCATCTACGAATGTGAAATATTACTATTAATAGTTTCCTGAGAATCAAGTGTGTATTTTTTATACATTTAACAAAAAATATTAACAAATATAGTAGGACTAATATCCATATTTTTTCCTCTGGCAAGTTAACTATTAATGACATATTTTAAACTCAACACCATTTTAAAGTTACAAGTTACGCCCAATTTTAGTATAACGCTTGTCAATAACTGATATTATCATCTCATACGTATATCCTATCTTTCGACCACCGTTCCCCGACTTAAAAGAATCTTAATAAATTAAACATTCCAAATTTAAACTATGCAAGCTTTACTATTACTACCAATGAACACTACATATTATTTAAAATTTATAAATTCATCTTCTTGTATTAATAAAAAATAATAGTAATACATACTATCTATGTAGTGGGTTTTGAGTATATTTTTTTATTTAACAGATTATTGGAGTATCAGACGAAAGATTAGGTGAAGAGCTTTGTGCGGTTATGCGGCTCAGAGATGGCGCTGTGTTCGATGTTAAAGAAATGTCTTCGTTTTGCGCAGGAAAAATTTCTAAATTCAAAATACCAAGGATTCTGAAAACAACAAATGAGTTTCCGAAGACAGCCTCCGGAAAAATACAGAAGTTTATGCTAAAAGAAATGGTCGAAAGTGGAAAATTGTGAAATAACTTTGTATTTTATAAAATCTAAATTGTTATTTTTTGTGTAAGCTAGATGAGCGATGCTATCATTATCTATGTACAATATAATTTAGCGTACATATGAAAGCGATCCGATTTGATGTTCGTATACAAATGTGATTTTTAAATTAGCGTCTCAATCAACTTACAAAAATTGTTACAACTGTTTCATGTGGTTTCTATGGAAACGACATGGGACAAAAATTCGACATCACCACATTAGAAACCCAAAAATACATATAAACCCTCCTCTTCAATCACTCTATCTATTAAAAAAACCGCATCAAAATCCGTTGCGTAGTTTTAAAGATTTAAGCATACATAGGGACAGAGAAAGCGACTTTGTTTTATACTATGTAGTGAGTAAGTAAGTAAATAAGTAGTCTTGTGATTATATAAAAAGGGTACATCTGCAGGGTAGGCGCGCATGGCCGTGCCGGAGGTCGCTGGTGGTGTCACTGTAACAATCATCAATCAATTATCACCTCATTCTCCGTTGTCCAGGGTATCAATATCCTGAGTTGTTTATCTTTATGGAAGGTATCGGAGTTCCCAAGAATAAGATCATGGTTTCTCTCAAAAAGAAGGAAAACTTTGGTGGCTTCACTCGCGTATGATTTATAAATTGTATTTATAATTGTTCTCGGTACAGCAACATATAGAGAACGTTATTATTATTAGCTTAATGTATAAATTAAGGTATTTTTTAAGATCACTTCCTACTTGGGTCACTCTGCATCTTGTACCACATTTTTCATGGAGAGTGTTCAGAGGAGTTGTTCGTTTCAACGTCGAGGCAGAATACGAAATTCCACCCGTATCAACTCGACGTCCGCCGTTCCACAACTGAGCGTTTTTCAAGGCAGTTTTTTCGGCGCACCAACTATGTGGAACCAGCTGCCCACTAAAGTATTTCCGAACCAATTCGAATTAGGGTCATTCAAGGAAAGAGCATACCGATTTTTAAAAGGCCTGCAACGCACTCGCAAGCCCTCTGGCATTGAGAGTGTCCATGGGCGGCGGTATCACTTAACATCAGATGAACCTCCTGCCCGTTTGCCCCCTGTTCAAAAAATAACTACATACTTAAATAATTAATAACGAAAGCTATCTTTTTAACTAATTAAAAAAAGTTATCAGTTTATTTGCCAGTAATAATATTGGTAAATGTTAATATACATATGTTTGTTTGATACATTTTGTTAGTATTGCGAGAAAAACTTGACTTTTATCTAAGTTTTAATTCGTTAAAAAGATAGCTTTCATTGTTAATTATTATTTAATGTTATATCAACTTCGAAATTTTATATTCAATTAATAACTCTTATCAAAATTGGTCATTATCGATCACAATGATTTTGATTTGAATGATTACATTTTACTGATTAAATGAAAATTTATTCTTAAGTCTAAAATATTTTTTGTGATAAAATTGAGACGTTGCCACTTCGATTAGTAAATAAAGTGGATTCAAACACAGAAATGCGTTTTCTTTTGTGTTTGTTGTTTAGCTTATTAGCTTTTGTGTTTAGTCAAACACGTAAGTCACAATTAAGCTTTATTATACTTTTCTATGAAATGAAATACAAACAATATTGGTATTCATAATTTTTTTCATGTTCTTCTTAAAGTTTCAAATGTCCGGCTCGCCGATCATACGAGCTATATTGTAGAACTTGTACAGAAAACTGTCGATCGGGTTCAGAAAAATAATTGGAACGGCCTTAAAGTTCATGATGTTAGCATTGAGATTGAGTAAGTCCACTTATATATGTAATAATGATTATTTATTGTCACTAGACTTTTCTCTACTATATATTGTATTGTATTGTATAAGACCTCCTGTCGTCCGAAGTGGTGGAGGCCTGATGACCTGTAACACAGGTACTCTTACCTTTAGCAGGCATCAGTCTCACACAAACTAGCTTTTTCCCTAAACAGAAGTAAGACAATTATTTATTTATATAATTAAAATGTATATAACTGTCACTTGCATAGTCCTTAGTTTTTGTGAGAAATAAATAAATATTATATTTCAACGTTTATAAAAATGTATTGTTGCAATTTTTCGTTAGATTCTTTTGGGTAACATAGCAGGGTATTTTCACATCTCTAATTAGTATTCGTCCATTTTCAGCGAAGAAGTCCTAAATAAAACCATCCAGGGTACAGTCTTTCTGAGTAATGGGTTTATAGTATCGATGCAGCATTTAACCCTTGTTTCGTCAACGATCCAACAAGCCTGGTTGTATACGAGAGCTACAAATACCACGACTCTGGAACTACGAAGTACTATGCAAATGACGAACGTCGCCATTGGCTTTGACGTAGATGGAACGATAGACGGCGAAAAATACCATAACACAGCCACAATATTATATCCATCAATGCAATTTAGATTAGTGGTAACTCTAAAAAATATTATTTTAAAACTTGACTCAAACCAACAAAAATAAAGAACGAGTCATGCGCCCATCTCAATATTTATAAATTACGCGTCACGTTGTTTATCCGCTATGGAGTCCTAAACTACTTTACCGATTTCAATCAAATTTGCTCATGAAATAGTATTACATATATATATATATAATTCACCGGTGCGTGTGTATGTCATTGAACTCCTCTTAAACGGCTGGACTGTTTTTCCGAAAAAGTTTTCAAAAATTAATTAGTTGTAGCTATATTTTAATTATTGATTTCAGACCCTAATCTATAAGATTTTATCTACATATACATACTTCTTATGTAACCTGTCTCATAAATTACGGTTATATAAATCAAAAGTTTTGTTTTGTCCTAATAAGGACAGGCTGAATTAATAATTAATATCAACATCGGAACTCCATTTTAACAGCGTGCGCTTAGGACCATCTTAGCACCGAGTTCCCGGCATATTTTTTTTACAAGTTAAATATTCTGTGAACAGTCTTATAAATACATGTTATTATGTATTCAAAATTATGAGTGTTGGCAATGTCATACCATATCCAAATATACATATATTCGGATTAATAATTTCGTATTTTATGTATATTATTGAATCAGCGAAATTGTTGGAACTAATTTTGATTGTATTTATTTTCAGCTAGTAAGAAACTTATTTACCGATGAACTATCTTCAAGAGCTGAGCCCATTTTGTGGAGAACAACAAATCAATTGCAATTCTTACCTTCGGATACATTTTCACAAGTTTTAGTCCATTTGGTAAGCTGAGTCGTTACAAGAGTACAATGTAAACTCTTACTTATACACAGTATTTAGATCAGCAAGTTCTACGTTACATCAACAGTGATGTAAATAATACTCTAAAATTCGTTAGCAATTGACTAGCACTTCTATATAAAAAACCCTGTCTTGGCACGAAACCTCAATATTGGAATCGGTGTTGTAATTGGACGTTACGTGATGCTAGAATAACCTAAAATTTGAATATAAAAATCAACTCTTAGTAAGATTGAAATCTCCAAATAATGTAAGCTAATGTTGATTAAGGAACATGTTAGGTTTTTGTCAATATACTTATAATATTATGATTAACATTGAATTGTTTTGCAGTATGACTGGAACAGTACCTTTCCAAGTCTTCAGACGTGGGCCAGTGAGGTATTTGCGCCTATAATACTTGATGTAGCCGAAACGGAGCATCCGATACCGGGGTTCTGTTACGATTGTCCTGCCTAATACATTTTACATTGAACACAGAAAAACAGAATGTATTAATATCGTTACCATTTGTTTATTTGCGTTTTCTTGTGGACGACAACTATTAATAATATTTTTCAGTTTAATTAAATAAAAAACCTCATATTTTGTATTTTTAACTCTTGTTTTGACGTTGTAAGAAGCTGAAATCAGGGCTTATTACTCTGTAACATCCAAAAGTGATACCTATAGGAATCCCGATCCCAATAATGAGTTATTGTTCCGTTACATCAGTGCTACGGATATTGGGACAACTACATCGAAATTGCATACAAAAACGTTTGAGAACTTTGGTATTACGTATAATTAAGATAACACCTTTCAATTAATATTTACAAGAATTCATTAATATACATGATTTTTTTTCTTCGATTTATATTGGAAACTGTTCAATAGTACTATACTAAATTAAATTTGACTGAATCGATGTATAAAGTGCGAATAACTTCGATTCATTGTACTCGTTGTGTATTAATTTTCTGTAACAAACAAAATACAATATTTATATTCAATCATACAATATTTTTAAGAATAACAATAGATTAGAAGTCGTCGTTCCAGCCTGTCGATGTCGACTGGAGGCTTCTCACCAAAAATTCTAGTACGACCGCGCTCTGCATCCTTTGTTCTACTGTGCATCTTGTTTTTTTTTATTTATAGGACCTCTACAGTCTACATAGTATATTAGCCGAGAAGATAGGCAGTGCCTATCTTCTCGGCCTATTAGGCAGATCGCACCTAGCTTTTTCGAAAGTCGGACGGAGCCGCGGCGTAGGTATAGGACTATAGGCTCTGAGTACATTTCATGTTAGGGAAGTAAGTTGCCAATACTCGCCACGCTTGACAAACGGGTTGGTGAGCGCAGTTTATCTTGAGGCTAAATGGGAAAAATTTCCCATTTTTTCCACTCCACTCCATTAGGTATATCAAGATCATTCTCAAATGTAATCAGCTTATAATTTATTATCGGTGAATCAAATATTAAATTATCAAATATTGATAAAAAAATTTGCTTTGAAAACTTCTTGAATTTGTTCGAAACGTATTGTATTCTCCTAGCAATGTTGAAGGTTTTGTGTACAATTTTCTTAAGTTTTCCTGTAGGAATTCTCTCTCAAGCATGGCGTAAGTTATAACATTTTAAGAAGTACTTATTTTATATAACTAACTATTATTTTTGAAACAAAATGACCTTCTAGCTATTATAAACTCTTTAATGAATTATAAATAGTTACTTATTTTGGAACATTTTTATACAAATTCTTAAAAAGATAATAAGAGATAAGTGACTTCAAACTCAAACTCAAAATAACTTTATTCATATATAGGTAACAAAGTACACTTACGAACGTCAACAGAAAAGATGTTAAATTGATTCTAAATTTACATTTACTACCAGTTCGCAAGTCAAGGGCGTAGAGCGGGCCTGGCTGGTAAGAAGAACTGGCAAGAAACGTTTGGAGTCATACAAATTGGTTCTGTTTCGAGAATTATATTGGTGAAAGTCACCATTTGTTTAAAATTCGTTTATATTTTAAGTAGGTACATACAACAAGCCTCCAAGAATATAGTGACCACATAGTGTCATATTTAATTCCTTAAACTTATTCTATACCGACTTCCTTGGGGAAACAACAAATACCCCGAACAGCCCGCTTCTGCAGCACAAATATGGATTGAACCATTGTAGCAGCACCCCACAGTAGAACACCGTAGGACAGAACGCTGTGTAGCTATGATATTTGAGTCGTGTCCTGATCAGTAAACTGTCGGATTTTCTTTACAACATATGCTGCAGAGCTCAGCGTATTCGAAAAAGTCTCTATGTGTGGAACTGGAGTTTACTATCTATTTGCCTAGGAATACAGTTTTGTCAACAAAGTTTAGTTCACTGTCCTTAACTTTCATCTCGCTTTACGCTTGTAGTTGTAAATCTAATACATTTTGTTTTATTCTCATTAAGTAGTATATTATTTACATTAAACAAGTTAACAATACGAGAGAAAGAATTGTTTCCATCGTCCAATAATACGTTTTTCCTATTCACTTTAAATAGAAGTGAAGTGTCGTCAGCAAACAATAGGATCTCATGTACTCCGTTGACAAAAAATGGGAGGTCGTTTATATAAATCGGAAATAAGAAAGGCCCGACTTCTTTAATAAACGAAAATGTATTACATAAGTCGACATTTCTGATTATTTTAGCAGGGTAAAGTTATCAGACAAGAACAATTATTGCTTCGCCGGGTTTAATTTTACTACGACCGATGACGAGTCGAGTAAACGCCTTGATTATAATTTATAAGAAAAACGTCGTGTATTTTGGTAAATCGAACCATGTACTAACGTACAGACTAATTTACTATTTTATTTTAACTTAATAACTTATTTCTTGTAACCTTTTTTTTAGACAACAAAGCCTGTTTAGAAGATGATGTAGGGTATGTTGAGAGACTTGCTCAGGAAACAATGTATAAAATCGAAAAAGATGTCAAGTTTTGCAACTTGAAAGTCGATGACTTTAATCAAACTATAAAGTGAGGATAATTATGTATTTTAAAGTTTGAAGCAAGTAAATAAAGTGATTTAGAAATTACTTGATAAATTTCACTAAATATCACTCTTAAGTTATATAATTTTAAAGTATTTATACATGCCTAAAGTATAACATATGCCTTTAGTAGGTATACAATATACTTATTTTAATAAATAATACAAAAAATGATAAATGTTTCCAGCAATCAAATGTACTCGTGGCACGTATCAGGCTCAGTTCAATATACAGATAATTTCCTGATTTCCATACAGAGCGTACATTTGGAGAAAATTTCTTCATTGGTCACTAGGAGATTGGTGAATAATGTGCCAGAATACCAGGCTGGTGTTCTATTTACCTTAGTTTTCAACCAGGCAAAAATAGGATTTAATGCTTTGGTGAAACTGGACAATCAACCAGAACAACGATATACTTTGGATTATTTGTATAACTCGATATCTTTTCCTATATCGGTAAGTTTGGTTCTGCCTTTCCCTGTCGACGCTCCTAGTAAAGACTGTCAAACTCAAACTCAAAATAACTTTATTCATATAGGTAAACAAGTACACTTATGAACGTCAACAGAAAAGATGTTTAATGGATTCTAAGTTTAAATTTGCTACCAGTTCGCAAGTCAAGGGCGTAGAGCGTGCAAGAAGAACTGGCAAGAAACTCTCCGCCACTCTTTTTAATCGCTAAGTTTTGAGTCACAGTTACAAATTATTGGAACTGGAGCAAATCAATCCCAAGGATTAGGATCATTTAAATATTCGTCAAATTTATAAAAAGCCATATTGATGAATTTAAGTTTAACGAGTGTTTTGAATTTATTCAGTTCTTCGTACCATAAAATTTAAATACTCTATACACTTATGAGAGTAAATATAAAATAATCACCCAGAGCACACTCGCTGTTTGGTATAACATACTTAAGTTTTTAAAATTTTATTCTATATCTACCTATATAACTTAGCTACTATCCGATAGCGACATATATAGCGGTTGCGATCCCGGCTTCAATATTAAATTTTGTATCACAGCATTCCGTTAGCGCTCCGAATATTGTGAGAACTAAAATTTATTACAACACACGTCGGGATCGGTATCCCTATCCATTACATAATATGTGTTTCTTTGTAGATAGTCCGCATTTTGAACACAACTGAGACAACATACACCTCATCAAGTGCGGGAACTTTAGCGCATGTTGTGAAGATGAACTTTCTGCCTTACACAAATGTCAGTCAAGTTATAGGAAGGAACGTAAGTTAATATTGCTTTTATCGTTAAAACGTCGCTAAAAAAGTCTTATTTTATAGACCAAAAATAACCTGGCGTCTGTCAAGTACAGCAGACTGATCACATACTTAAAATGTTGAAACAATTAATGCAGAAATGTGACGGAATAAAACAAAAACAAATGTTGGTTTGATGTTTCCGTTACCTTATATTAAATATAGGAAGATCTCAGATAATTTTTACAAACCAAATCGGTATTAGAAATTTTTAAGCGCTACGCCAACAACACGTAAGAAAGGTAACTCCTCATACAAGCTAAACAATTTAATACAGAAAATTTATAGCTTGATATTTGTATGTTGTTATGTTTTCTAATAATTGTCTCCTTGTAATGTTATTTTTAATTGTTGCAGTTTAAAAGTAGTACAATAAGTAGCTCATTTACTAAATGGGCCAGACAAATTTTTCTTCCAATAATGGAAGAACTTGAAGACATTATTACATTTCCTACAATAAGACTGGACGGATGCAAATAAAAAAAAACACTAAACTATACAAATCTGAAGTATAAAAATATATTACATTGAATAATAAGGTGATTCTTTAATTTACGGCTGATCAATTTCTTAAAATACCTTGCTAAATAATTACTACAAATTTGAGCTGAGGTCTTGTGTCTAAAGAATTAGCATTAATCTTTTGAAATCTAGAAGTGTGCAGGATACTGTGTGGCTCGGGTGGCTCATTTAGTAACCTAAGGAAATGAATTAACTTATAGATGCCTTCTTCTGATTAAATTTAGATAACATCGGAATACATGACGTGAACTACATCTTTCTCGGTGAACTCAGTAAAAGAAAAGGACGGAAAGCGATAGCTTAAAGAATAACAGAGTCAACTAGGCGTAACCCACTAACGCTAAACGAATTTGTATGGGAATGACATTAGCTCACACATTGTCACTTGACCAATTTCATTAGTAATATACGACTTTTCTTACAACCCTAACGATTTAAGAAATATTTAGTTTCGGGTAGCGTCTTCATTAGAATTTAGAAACGCAGCTATTTTTAGTTCATCAGATTACATCCACCTTCTGTGTCTGCCACATGTCGTCGAAATTTCGATATCGCCGGTCCACACGATGTTTGCCTTTACTGTAGAAGCAAATGCAAATAGTGAAATGACCACTAATTATTTTTATTGGGCTCCTGGCTAGGCTATACACTTGTTCTATTTTTACACGCTTTATATTAGCTTCACCTGTATGTATGTATGTAACCGACCCCTTTGAGCTCGATTTTGTCCTACTTTGAACGATCAGATTTTATTCAAACTTGGCGCACCTGTCAAAGATCGATGACAATGCAATAATCCGAAAAAATAAAAAATTAACTAAAAAATAAAAAAATAATAATAGTTGCTTATAAATAGTAGGGTGCTTTTCAAGATATTATCGAAATGATAATCCTTCTCAAATCTGTCAATTAAATATTCATAACTATTGACACCATGCACCCCACGCATTTTTTACAATAAAACATTTTTTTTCTTATTCAAACTATTAATAACTTATATTTATTAAAAAAAATTACATTATTCTTAATTAATATTTATTGAAATTTATTTTCTGTTTTTTAGTTTAGTTTTCTATATAAAGCGTGTGTTCTAGTTTTTTTAAACTATTATTTATTTTTTATTTTTTTTCTCTCATAAATTCCACAATGGCCAATGTTTTTGCCGCGCCACTATGTGGAATCAGCTGCCCACTGAAGTAGGGGCCGAACCAATTCGACTTAGGGTCCTTCAAGAAAAGAGCGTACCAATTCTTAAAAGGCCGGCAACGCACTCGCGAGCCCTCTGGCATTGAGAGTGTCCATGGGCGGCGGTGTCACTTAACATCAGGTGAGCCTCCTGCCCGTTTGCCCCCCGTTCTATAAAAAAAAAAAATGTTTTTATTAAATTAAAAAGTTACCAAAGCCATCTATGATAGTATATAATTATAATATTACAATTTTTTTTCGACCATACCGCCTAGTCTTTCGTACAATATAATATTACAAGTTACAACTCACATCATAATACAATATACATGACTCATTATATCTTGCCGAATACTTATGAATGTTTTAAAAAATTGTATTCTATGCACCTATTAAATTTTATATTCATGAGACTTATAGATAATATATATCGACGTAGGAAGAAATTTTTCTGTAAAGAGAAAAAAAACCCCAAAGGGTTTTTTTCCCCCCCTAAAAACAAAAAAAACCCCCCCCCCGGGGGGGGGGGCCCCGGGTCCCCCCCCAAAAAAAAAAAAAACCCCCTCGGCCCCCCCCCCCCCCCCCTTTTTTTTTTTTTTTTTTAATATGTGTGTTGGTCCCCAACCCCACCCCCCCCCCCCTCTTTCCCCCCCCCCCAAAACCAAAAACAAACCTTTTTTTTTTTTTTTTTTTTCCCCCCCCCCCCCCCCCCCCCCCCCCCCCCCCCCCCCCCCCCCGGGGGGGGGGGGGGGTTTTTTCCCCCCCCCCCCCCCCCCCCCCCCCCGGGGGGGGTTTTTTTTTTTTTTTTTTTTTCCCCCCCCCCCCCCCCCCCCCCCCCCCCCCCCCCCCCCCCCCCCCCCCCCCCCCCCCCCCCCCCCCCCCCCCCCCCCCCCCCCCCCCCCCCCCCCCCCCCCCCCCCCCCCCCCCCCCCCCCCCCCCCCCCCCCCCCCCCCCCCCCCCCCCCCCCCCCCCCCCCCCCCCCCCCCCCCCCCCCCCCCCCCTCCTTCCTTTTTTTTTTTTTTTTTTTTTTTTTTTTTTCCCCCCCCCCCCCCCCCCCCCCCCCCCCCCTTTTTTTTTTTTTTTTTTTTTTTTTTTTTTTTTTTTTTTTTTTTTTTTTTTTTTTTTCCAATATCAAAAAGTAGCAATATCATGGATAGGTCAGACACTATAATTTTTTTCAAAGTCTAGAACAATTGCAATATGTCTACTTACAGCAAATGTGTTTCCTCGTCGATATGTATCTAGAGCTCAATCTAGACATTGTGCGTTTTCCAATTACAGAGCATAATGCGACTCAGTGCCGCACAATGCCGCATTATGCTGAAGCTTAATTGGAACGTGAATTAGTTTTTAAATGCATCAGCAGAGTGCGCTAAGTCAGTGTTGAAAAAAAAATGTTCTGAATAGAGTTAGCAACCTCATTAATGTATAAATAATGTGGTAAACAATAATAATTGGTTGAAAACTATTTACGCTTATTTTAAGTAATTTGGATTTTGATTATTACATTAACATTTTTTTACTGAAATAAGAGAAAACCTTTAAAGAATATAAGGTTTTAACAAGCTAAATTAACAGTAAAATATTTAGTTTCATGTAAGAAGTTTACATCATTTACGTTTTGAGTAATTTTTTTAATGATTTCTAAAAAAATTATATACTTTTTCAAAACCATTGCAATGTTTACAAAAGTATAATCCTGTAAAATAAATTTGTTTACAGATCCGTATTTTAAAATGAAATTGTATTCATATTTTAAATGTGGAATATAAAAAAAGTAACTATTTATACCTTCATCCATACTTATATTTTTTTTTAGCAGTTTGAAATAACTTTAATTATTTTCAAAATCTACGACAAAACGAAAGCCTTACAAATTTTTCAACAATAAATAATATTTACTAACGAAAATATCGATCAATGCCAACTTAAAGAAAAACACTGGTCAATTTTCTGTCACTGTGTTGGTATTGATTGCGAGAAGCACGCGAGAGCATTACTTTTGAGAGTGCTCAATTGTGCGAAGCGTTGCTGTAGTTGGAACATTCAACGTTAAGCATTATGCCGCATAATGCGCTCTAGTGCTGTAATTGGAAAACGCACTTAAAACGACAATTAAATTTTAAAACAAATGTCAACTATAACAAAAGCCATTTTGTGTCTATAACACTGACTTAAGTCACGTGTTATCTGTGAACGAAATGTAATTTTTATAGATATTTCCTATTATCAGTTTGTCAAAGTATCTGAAAAGGTTATTTTAGGATAGACTTGCGTAAAAGTGGTAAAATTTAGAGTTCAGATTATTTTTATTATTGTAATCTCAAATGCGAAAGGAATAAGATTAGGCACCATATAAAGAGGATGGCATCAACGGGCAGTACACCGTTTCCTAAATGGCAACTGGCCATTCTTCTCGGTGCCCCTCTGGCTATCGGCTTAGGTTATCTTTATTTGAGAAACAGGTTTGAAGATCCAGAGAAAAAGAAGGAAGCTGAACTAAAAGCCAAGACAACTATTTCGTTAGACAATGAAGAAAACGCGAAAGTTTCTGAAAGTGCTATTGACCGTGCAATGATATTAAAGGGTGCCGGAAATCGCGCTTTTCATGGAGCAGAGTACGATAAAGCAATCACCTTATATAATGAAGCAATCGAGGCTTGTCCTCCTGACCGTACCGAAGACTTGGCTACATTTTACCAGAACCGTTCTGCTTGCTATGAAAAGAGAGAAATGTGGGATCAAGTGAAGGAAGATTGTACATTTGCATTGAAACTTAATGAAAAGTATGTAAAAGCCTATCTGCGCAGATCCCGTGCAGCTGAAAAAAGTGGTGACCTGGTTCTTGCATTAGAGGATGTAACTTCAGCTTGCATATTAGAACGCTTTCAAGTTCAGAGCTCATTAGTGAACGCTGATCGTATCTTAAAAGCTCTAGGAAGACAACACGCCAGAGAAGCTCTTTCCAAACGACAACCTGTTATGCCCTCTAAGCATTTCATCAAAACTTACTTCTCAGCCTTTTTAGAGGACCCTATTACAAAAATTCACATTGATGATAAAGAAACTAGTGGGTTTGCAAAAGCCAAGCGGGCACTTGACTCTCAAGACTATGAAGCCATTGTTGATGCCTGCTCTGAAGAGCTAGTTTCAGAAGGTCACTACAAATATGAAGCTCTATTGTTGAGAGCTACATTTTATCTACTCCTTGGTAGGCATGAGGAAGCCCAAGTTGATTTGGGTAAGGTAATTGAAAGTGATGCTTCTACAAAAGTGAAAGTGAATGCGCTTATCAAACGTGCCTCTCTTTACACACAATTGGAAAATACTGAGAAGTGCCTTGAAGATTTTGCCAATGCAGCGCAGTTGGATGCAGGCAATTCTGACATATATCATCACAGAGGACAAGTATATTTATTATTAGAGCGAATGGATGAAGCTACTTCAGAATTTGCAAAGGCAGTAGAACTTAATTCTGATTTCTCTATTGCTTATATTCAAAAATGCTATGCTGATTATAGACATGCTCAATTTCATAAGAACATTGGGGCTTTAACACAAGTACGAGCTGATTTTGAACATGCATTGGAAAGATTTCCTAGGTGTGCTGAGGCATACATCTTGTATGCTCAAGTATTATCTGATCAGCAGGAATGGGGAAGGGCTGAAGCTTTGTTTGATTCTGCATTAGCTGTAGATCCGAACAATGCTACCCTTTATGTCCACAAGGGTCTAGTTCAGCTGCAGAAGAATACAGATTTTGACAAAGCTGTCAAATTAATTAACAAAGCTATAGAGATGGATGATAAATGTGACTTTGCATATGAAACTTTGGGAACTATAGAAGTACAAAGGTTTGTAATATCTTTATTTTTCAATGGGGTTTATAATTAGTTATCTATTTTATATACCTACTTGTCTATTAGGAAAACATGATTAAAAAACTGATATATAGATATTCAAGGTCAGTACTAAAGGGTTGTTAAATCACTGGCAGTTTTTAAAACAATTTAATATTAAGAGATATGACTAGTTCAGTGCGATAAGAATAAATTATTTTCATGATGAACTAATATATAATTTGTGCCATATACCAAAGATATCAAATATATCACAAAAATATTGTGTCACACATTACCTTATGGCCAATATAAAATTTAGTTTATGTATATAATATTGTTTTAATTTGTAAAATTGAATTAGTATTTTCATATCTCATTTGTTTTTGAAGTAGTTTGAGATTTGTAATTTTGTAGTTGGTTTATGCAAGTACTACACATTTAAAATTTTATATATATATATATGTATAATAATCATTGTACCAGGCTGTTTAAGAGTTATAACTATCTACTACATAAGTTAAAACCTATTAAAATATATTGTATGATTACAGAGGAAACTTACGCAGGTCGTTGGAACTGTTTGAAAAAGCAATTGCTTTGGCTAAAACAGAATTGGAAATGACACATCTATTCAGTCTCAAAGATGCTGCTGCTGCACAATTAAAGGTATCACAACGTTGGGGTCTCGATTGGACTGTGAGCTAGGCATTTAAAAGGGACAACGAGAATATTAATATTGTCTTATAAATTTGTTGTGAATGTCAAAGTAGGGTGGGTAATTTAATTCATTTGACATGCTGGTTTTAATATATTGTTTGCTACATGTGTACAACAAATTCTTTCCTCAGCTCAAATAGCATTTAAAGCAAATTCCTTGTTACAGTGATAATGTGCATTGCTTAAAGTGTATAATTTGACCCTACTATTAATTACTCAGATCCAAAAACACTATATTTATGTTACCGCCGATGACTGCACCAACCTTTGTTGATATAAATTACATATACATTTATTGATATATATTTATTTTTGATATCACATTAGACCCAATATTATCTAAATACTATATATATTTGACATTGGCTTAGTTAATTTATATTTGTTTAATTTATAATTACATTTTTGAAAGAAAAATTCATTACAATATGTAATATTTGCTTATATGAATGTTATTGAATGATTTTATTAAGTAAACATGTACTTCATATTGAAGTTTGTTTTTGAAATCTTGTTGTTTATTCTAGTTAGAAAAATAATAGAAATGTTGAAACATAGTAAATATGTACTACAATTAAAATCATTCCATTTGAAACAAGTACTGTAAAATTATCAAAGTATATTATTGTTGGGTTAAGTTATAAAACTCGCAAAATTTATTTTATTTATTTGAAATTTGACATTCAATACTTCTGTAAGTATTTTAGGGACGGCCATAAAAATAACCAAAAAGATACAAAAAATATTGTACCACATCATCAGTTAAAAATAAACTTCAAATCTATCTTGGTACTCAAAACATAAATTATATGTATAAGTTTTAGTCAGGTTTTTATGTGTGATGTGGTGATTTAGTGCATTTCAATTTCTTGTGTATTTATAAAATAGCGTCTTAGCAGTCGGAATTCAATAACTTTTGACTATGGTAGTCAAACTGTAAGAAGAAAATCATTTATGAGGATAGAAAAGTTACGGCGGTATACATAATGTGCATCCAAGTTCCAGACATAGGGGACAAATAGTTGAAAATATTTAATTTAAAAATTTATTGCTGAAAATTCCATTTCAATCGACACGCGCTGGATGCACTTGCAGTAATTTGACATGGTTATAGAGTTAGAAAGCTAATGTGGTTCTACAAGAGTTGTTACCTCACCGATAGTAAATAGTTATCAATTTATGAAAACTTCAAATAAATACATAAAAATATGTTTGGCTTTTTTTTATATTTGTCCAAAGATTTCTGGCTGCATACACCAGAGCACGTAGTTTGATTCAATTCAACCGCAGTTATTAATAATTTAAATAGTTAGTCCTTACAAAAATAATGTTTTGTTTTATAATACGAATATTCATAAAAATATTACGATATTTCAATTAGATATTACCCAAAAATGTATAGTGCATTTAGTTACATGTTCTTGCTCTATAATACAGTTTGTAATATCATCAATATTTATCAATAATCAACCAGTGTTTCCGCCTTATTTATCTAAATTAAATAAAAAAGATTGTTTATCTTTGACTTGATTTAAAAATGAATGCAAGCGCAAAAAATTACGTTATTTTTAATGACGAACGTCAAAACGATTCTATAAAAATAGACAGAATATTAAAAAAACATTATTAATCAATATTGCTAAAATAATGTTCATTAGTCAAAGGTTAGGTTCACGCAGTTTGTTTAATCAAGGAGATTCGATTATTATTTTGGACCAGGAGGAAACACTGACATCCGATTATCACATTGACCTTTTTATATTAGTTTTAATTCCAATTTTATGATATAATATCTATATTATTATATGATTTCTAGAGTATAAAAAACTCAGAAGACTAGGTCCTGTTTTTATAAACATTCGTATATTATAACGAAAAATATACAACAGTTTCATAAAACTACCGCAGTTCAGTTATGGACTAGTCACAAGTTTTAAATTAAATACTAAATTAATATAATGATACTAGCTGACCCGGCAAACGTGGTTTTGCCATGTATATTTTTTCTAGAAATCGTTTTTTTAGTTCAATAAAAATAGCTATCCACTATAATAAAAAATAGGGGTGAAAATTAGGGGTTGTATGTATTTTTGTATCATAAAAAATAAATTTTTGGGGTGGACACCTCTTATCACTTAGGTAGGGGTTTGAAAGGTAGATAGTAGCCGATTCTCAGATTTACTGAATATGCATAAAACATTTGATAAGAATCGGTCGAGTTTCGGAGGAGTATGGGAACGAACATTGTGACACGAGAATTTTATATATTAAATTAAATAGGAGTGTTAACGAAAACAAAATTTGTATTTATAGAAGTACTCACAAGTCACAAGTAGTTTTCATAACCAAAAGATTTGTATTTGACACAATTGCTTTGAATTTTTCTCGAGGCGTGAACTCGGAGGTCATGGTGCGTCAATTGTAATGCACGTTGGTTTTTTCTGTTTCCTTTTTTGTATTTTTAAAGGAACGGATTGCTTATTTTGTTATAATGGAACTTTTAGATATAATGTATATGGCGAAGATCCTTTGCAACGAAAAACGTTATTTTCTTATAGAAAAGTTTTTTCACGAAGACGTTGTGCTTCAACGATTAAGTGTAGAGGTGAGATATCAAATGTTACTTGTATACCTACATGAATTTAAGAAGAATACCTAAAGTAAGTGGGTATATGTTGGTACTTATGGGTGGTTTAAAATGATGTATAATTCAAGTAACTAACTTTTTTCTACGCTGTTGCCTGGAAAAGCTCGCTGATTAGCGATATGTTATTGGACCACCAATAATTTAAAGTTAGCATAACTCGATGATATCTTTGTGATTTTAAGACTTTGATTCTAGTACCCGAGGATAATAAGTACCTACCACATTTATAATTATTATGTACCACTAATTTATATACCAAAACCACCTACAAGTGGGTACTTAGTTGATTGCATAAACCGTGTTAGAAAGGAGGTAAGTTTTGTAACAATACTTATTTTTTATCGTCACGTTAACTGTCATTAAAACAGTATGAAAAAATAACTCAATGCAGACATCAAGACAGGTTTAAGGGTTATTAGAATAATTCAGTTTTCGCTAAAATGCCTTGAAGAGACTGAACAAAAACCAATATTTTCAAGGGATTTTTAAATTTGTGGAGCATTGTTAACTATGTAAATGTGTAATAATATGGTTTTTGTATATATTTTCTTGTTATCTTATTTCTGTAAACAATGCTCAAGTCTATTATGCTTTAATTGTACTTCGATGCATCGCGACGCACCTGGCTGCGCTGGAGACTTTACAAAACCATCTTTTGAATTCAATTCGACTCGGAACATAATTACTAACTGTACTGGTGGTGCGATATTCCAACTATTTATTTGCTTTACCATATAACATTATCAATCCGTAATGTATTGGAATTTAGGTCCGTCGCACATACTATAATCGGAAGTTGGTACTATGGCACTTGTATCTGCATAAGAAATCTGAAAGTTTCTCATTTTATACCTATTGATTGATACCAGGAAAAAGACTCGATGAAATCTATTGCATAGGCGGCGAAAGGTAGAGTTCTTTTCTTAAGATTTGTATTTTTTAAGATGAAACAATGTGTTTTGTGCGATCATGGACTGCTCGCGCTAGACATGCTTGGATTGTTCAAAGAGGCTGCTATCAAATTCAAAAAGGTGATCTCCTGCCACGGACGATGAATATACCAATGCGATCGATGTCTTGTAAAAATGAAAGGTAATTTTAAAGAAATCTGTTGCAGAATTCGAACTTGTATTGCAGTGAAATAAAATCGTAGAACCCTTGGAACACCTAATTTAGTTTTTCGACCCGATTAGGTTCACTTAAGTATTGTTTCATCATTTTTATATTTCAAAATGTAAGTAGATATTTAGTGTGAGTCCTTATGTTTCACAGATTTCCAGAGGCAGATTACAAAGTGTGTTTTTGTCAAGCTGATTGGTGCAACTTAGGAACTTCAATTTATAAGTTTTCCAACACTATTGGATCTGTTATTTTAATTTTCTTTAGTACTTATAATCTATTGAAATTATATTTTTATAATCTTCCGGTCACGTTAATATAAACTGCAATAAACGTTAACTTTATCGTCTTATAAGCAGCTTTCACTTTATCTAAGTTGCCTGCGTATATTTCTACGAAAAGGATGGTAAGAAGTGTGTGTGTTAGTGGGCCGCGTCCGCTGCACCGCATACATCTTTTTTGTAGGCAAGTTAGTGTCAATGTGAGCCTACATAGTTGTAATTAAAAGAAATTTAATTCTAACACGCTAATAATAATTAATATATTACTTCCGACGTATAAGATTTAATAAAAATAACTATTTTATAAAAAATATATCTTTATTGAGATGTCTATAAGAAACTAAAATAAATATTATTCTAAGTCGTTACTTAAAATACAATTCCTGTCATTACTAGTCAATATAAAATAAATAAACTCTGATAGTTATAAGTTCCTTCTAAAAACGGTGGGACTTAAGTTATTTTAGGTTAGGATTAAAATTTAAAACATTCGCATAGCTTCTATAGCAATGATTGTTGTATATAAAAATACCGTTGTTATATTAAAACTCTCATATTTTATAAATACCAATTATATTGAGTCTGTCTTATCTTTTGGCCTCACTGTGATCTTCATTATCTTCTTTAAGAGCATATTGAACGGCCGTACTCACATCACCTGTAATTGCTTTCGCAATAAATCCCGTTAATCCAGTGTTATTTTTACGCGTCTCAAAAAAATTATATACCAACTCTTCAATAGTATCTTCATCGATCGGTATGAGATCATTTATATCTATTTGTCGCCTATCACGCTTAATATGATTTGTCTTTGAAAAAGAATAGTTACTATCATAATTCTCTACGATTCCTTTTCTGTAAATCTCTACGGGTACCTTACTTCCGTCGCTGACATCATATTTAATTCCCACATCTGCTTCTTGGATTTCTATTGAACCAACACCAGCTTCTATTAAAGAAGTAAGATTTTGTGATCTGCTTTTTCTGTTTTTTTCTTTAATTTCAGTTTTCTTTAAATATTTGTCTTTTAATGGATGTAAATGTTTAACTTCTTGTGTTTCTTGTTGTTTAGTAATATCAAAGTCAGTAATAGAATTAGACGCAGGATTTGGTTGTGAGCCGTAAGTTTTTACCTTAGAGTGTCCCTGTATAATAAGATACATTGGTGAAATCTCCGTAGTAGACTTGTCATGTATTGGCTCTATAGTGGTTGTCAATGGTGTTGTAAACCGCATGTGTAAATATGGGTCGTGAGTTTGTGAAGGTTGATCCTCGTGTAATAAGCCATTAAGGTGATGCGGATTAATTTGGTGCTTGTAAGTTGGTGATGTACTAGTCTGAAATGCAACAGGTGGCGGGGGATGCATAGTTTGCATTGCTTCCAATTTAATTGCTTCTGTGACGTGATCTTTAAAAACTTGTATATTTTCTGATGCATGAGCATAAAGATTATCTTCTGGCCTTTCTGGATCTGTAACCATAGGCATTGAGATCATAGCGCCTAACATATTATCTACAGCACCTGCTTGTGATCTTACTGTAGTAGTTTCAGTGTCTGTAGCGGTTTCTGCAAAGTCGAAAGATGATTCAGTGGTAGCTTCACCTGAAGATTGTTCGTAATATGGCCAAGTTTCTTTAGAATTGCTAGTGGTTGATATTGCAGGTGGTAAAACAGTGGGTAGGAACGTTGGTGTTACTGTTGTGGTTTCTGTAATAGTTTGATCTGTAACGTCTTGTATGGTTGCGGGTGAAGTACTATAGAATGAATGTGTTAGGAGGTCTCCAATAAATTCTCTGTGTGGAATTAAATTACTCAAGTCGTTGTGGTTGTTTCTTTCGTTAAATGGTGTGGTCGGGCCCCACCCGGCGTAGTCACTGCTTACTGTATTGCTGGGGTCAGTGTGAGTCTTGTTAAATTCCGAAAACCACGTCTGGTTACTATCAGTTGCTTCATAGATAAGGTTAGCTTCCTGAAGAGCAAACGACGTTATCAATTCCGGCGTGGAAATTGTATACCTTGGTGGGAAAGTAGGCTCTACGTGTGTAGGTGGGGTCGGCCGTACTATTTTACTTTCTGGTGGAATAAATAAAGATGGTTTGTAGCCTGCAGGAGGTGGTGGAGGTGGCACTAATATTGTCATTGGATAGTACTCGGTGAGTTTATAAGAATAATCTTCATATTTAGGAGGCGGTAAGTTGCTTCTTTTTGGAGGCGTTGGTGGCCGGGAAGATACACTTGGTTTACGCGATGACACTCCCAACATTAAGACTTCGGATTTCTTTTCTGGGTAATGTTCCCTCTCGAGTCTGCTGTCATCAGCCCAGTAATGAACTCTCTCTAGCATAGGTGGCTCGTAGTCATATGTGGGATCATTATGCAATGGATCTCCGCGACCTGTAAGTGGTTTCCATTGATCGAAATCCATGCGAGGGGAGAAAATCGAAGCAATACTGCTCAGGCGTTCCAGTGGATCTGTAAAAACGGGAGCTAGTTTTAAATCTAATACATACTAAATAACTATAAAGAGTGTAAATAGTTTTTATTAATTAATAATATTGTTACCGGATATACTAGGTCCTGGTGTGTGTTTAAACTGATGTGGACTGGGTTCGGCTGCGCCACCTCGTAGTAATAATATGACCATTACGATTAAATGTGTTCTTATCTGCAAGAGAAAATACGGTTTAGATTCATTTTTCATTTATATATCTTTCCTTAATAAAAAAAAATATGTTTATATGGAATATAAGATACAGGTATCACTAATTCCACGTCATTAAATTTAAATAGGTTGACATTCCTACTCATCGGCAAAGACGACGGTGTAGGCAGAGAGAAAAAGCCGGCGTAAAAAACTCGGTACTCTTTTAAAATAGCAAATCATCAAACAACACTTATTTTAAAACAAATATCGCAAATTAATTAGAAATAGCCTGTTTAGCCCTAGTCTCAGGCCCTTTTATGAACTAGATAATCGTTAACATAGTATAAGCCTTTTTACACAGCTTTTATTTAATTATTAATACATTTCTTAAATTTATCAAAAGGCAGACACAAAAGAGCGTCTAGGATTTTTTGAAAGAAGAGTATCCCTTTTTCTAAGTAGTACGGGGAAATTGCAGCCTGCGTTTGTTCCGAGTATTAACATTATGCGTATGTTCTATTCTAGTAAACTTATCACTATTTTTGTATACATACATAATATTTTCATAAATATATTGCGAGGGAAAGGTATTTAGGTATTATATTAATTTCCTTGAATTTATCTCTCAGAGATTCCCTACATTTTAAATTATAGATTGCACGAATAGCAGATACTGATAGATACTGCAGGATGACCCCATAATAATAAGCCATAAGTCATTAAGCTGTGAAAGTAACTATAATAAACAAGTCTAGCCGTATCGACATCACTTAGCGAGCGATTTTTTTAACCGCGTAAGCTGCAGAATTAAGTCTCTTCGCCAATTCGTTAATTAATATGAAGGGACTACTGAAGTTTGAATCCATGGTGATTCCAAGAAATACAGTTGGTTCATCCAGATTCAATTCCTCATAATTTATAATTGGTCTAGTATCCATAACCCTAGCATTTGCATTGCACAAAATTTAATGCATTTCGTTTTTTTGCATTAAGTAGAAACTTATTCATACTAAACCAATGGACAATCGAAGAGATAGCATTGGTTTAGTAATATTTATGTTGTCATGTATGTAATTTAACTTGAATATGGATAAATATAAAAACTGTTGTCATAATAATTACACGACACTGAATGCAATACTCGTATTTCATGTAATTAGAGCGGTCGTGGTGTTGGTTAGTAACAGTTTTTTGGACTTGCACCTCGTTAAAATACCGAGCGGCAAGGCAGGAAGAAAGACGAGCTAATTTAATATTATAACCATCCTCCTTCATGTATGCGAAATTCTTGACCTCGATTACAGATAAATGTAGATAGTTAATGACTGAGTATGTCATGTTAACGAGCGGCTCCTCTGTACTTTTAAATCGTTCCTAAAATCAAAAGGACAATGATCAATTATTCACGTTATGACGTACATTACGACGCAGCTTATTCATAATAACGATACAGGTGCATTCTTAGGTTTTAAGTTGAATCCAGATTTAAAATTTACAATAGGCACTACTTTTTGTATTTAATTAACTATCACATGGGAAACCTTAACCTTCTTTACATTACCTACCTACATTTTAGCATGTGGAGTACATACTGAAGTGTAGATAACTAGCTAAATGATTTTGTTATCAAAAGTATTTCTCCTTCTTCAGTCGCGCTTATCATTTCTGACTGTCGTGTTAGTGGCGACTCAGAATTTCCTTTACTATCCTCTGTCTTCGGCAAAGTATTTCTCCTAATTTCACCATTAGTAAACGACTAGGACGTCGATTACCAGGACATTATGGAAACGCAATTCGCCGCAGTGAAAGCAACACGTGCGACGAATCACAAATATTATGTTACATGACAGGAATCAGGCTAAAGCATTTTGCATCTAATTAATCTTTCCATTATTGTCCTTTCACTATCTGGCGACGAGTACTACTGTTTTCTTAATGTCTTGAAACAATAAATAGATTGAAGCTCAGATAGGTTTGAAATATCTATCCATCTAAGGCCATAAAATAGGTATATAAACTTAAAAATTCTGGGCGATCGTTACACTTAATACTGTAAATAAAAATTAGAAATATCTACATGGCAAAAAGTGTAGGAACAAAACCACCAATAAATGAATAAAAAATGTAAGATATACTTAAGTAAAACAAACATTTGTAGAGACAACTTTCCATTTCTAACGTACTCGATCCTCCACCGGATTGAAATTAATACCAATATCGGACGTTATTGTGGACAAGAGTGAAAACAGTGGTGTCTTATTAATATTCAGTTACACTATGTCAAGGTCTAGAAAGCATTGTTATAGTAAGATTAAACTTCTACCTGCGGATTCACTTGTGGTCTAGGATTAAAAATATATGGGCAATAAAGTTTGAAACAATGTATCTTATGAGAACAGAATTAGACTAATCCAGAATAATAATTGTAGAGCCCTTTAAAAAGTGCATTATAATTGATTTAATAAGAATAATATTACGGACTGCTCTAATAAAGGTATTTAGTCTATACCACTTGAGATTTCCTTTCAATAGCTTTTGGTTTGGTTATTTTGTTTTTGATAGGTATACAGACATAGCTTGCTATATGTATTGATAGTTAAAAGTAGAGATCGTCTAGCGATAAGCGATGTGGTTCTGTCACAAAAACCGATAAGGACTAAGAGGCAAGAGCATACCAGACCATCATACTATCTTACAGATGTAGGTGGTATAAGGTACATAAAACAAAATCGTATTCCATTACTTGATTCCGTAAAATATTCTAGTAAAGGAACACCTATGCCATGACTTATAAGTTTTAAAGAATTCAATAACATGGAAAAGAAAACATCCAAGTGTGAAACTACACTAGTATTATAAGTGGGATTTAATCTGTGGAACTGCTGAGGCGATTTAAAATTACATGGACAATGGAAAGCTATTTTTCCTGAGTGACATAGGCTATAATGACATATTTGATTGTGATTGATATTTGTGTTTCCTGTTTACAAGCGAAAGAACCAAGATGTCGCGCGGACAAACTAGTAAAGGTTTTTTATGCATGCAATGGTAAGGTGGTGCATTTATTTATTTTGAGACATTTTAATTAAGAGACGAAGATAATATTATATATTCATATATGGCACGAAGAGAGAGGTTTTCAATATAACCATTGTCTGAAAGACAAAACTTGTTCTTGTGATTTTAAATAATTACCTACAACAAACACACCTATAAAACTTGTAGCTATCTGTTTATTCGGCAGTGAAAGTTTTTAAGGCATTTATTTAATTCTCGCATTGATAGACGACACAAGGCGGCTGCGACGGGCTATCGAGTAGGCGTGGGAACTAAACGCGGAGACCGAGTGGCGCCACGGGCAATTTGACAACCACGATCACCTCCGATCTCTCACCTTCTTGTACCGTATGCATTATTAGCATCTATATAACTAGATTTTTAAATAATATTTGAAGTATTTTAAGTGTAATTACTTATATCGAATTTCATATAAAACATTGTTATTTACTTGACGTATCCAAAGTGTAACAAGTAAGTTTAAAATTTAACGATATTTTAAAATAAATAATAATTTTTCTGCATTGTAAGTTTTATGTTTAATTGATAACATCGGTGTTTGGGGTATCCATGCCGGCACTATAGGCAACTTCAGAGGGGTGGCCGGGCGGCCGTATTTTTTTTAACGGAACTTCTCGTTTCCTGCATATGATTTTTAAAAAGCAAAGCTAATTAGATATAAGTATTTTCGCGACCGAAATCCAAAAATATATAGAAAATCGTGTTATAAACGTTAATGCCTGTTGTACATTCTAAAAACGCATTAAAAATACGTCATACTGAACTAATATTTGAAGCACTTTCATAGGATATAAAAGCTTACCTTTTTCGCGCTAAAAGTTACATTAGGTACTTTACACCTGATAATTTAAATTTACTATTAACAAAATAGGGAAATATTTGCTGCCTTCGTGAACAATTACTTTTTGCCGGAAAATTTATTAATTATTTATTCAGCATTATATACATAAAGGAGTATTTTTTTTAGTTTATAATGTGATCAGATAAAAACGGTTACTTACAAACATATTGTATTTTCTTGATCAAAGCACTACACTTCACAAAGCCTACACAATGCTGTGCGCGTTTCCCGTGCGATGTCTGCGGGCAGTCTGAGTCCGACTGTCATAAAGTATAGGTAGGACTCGATGACGATTTTCGAAACAATTGTCTTACAAGTGGTAAGAAGGCTTAGCTTTATGGGTGATTGGTTTAATTGATTCAGGCTATCAGTCATATGCTATTCATGAGAGCGCTTGGTAAAAAAATATAACATCCGTTTTTGAGTTTTTCTTATAAACAGTATGCTAAAATATAATTTTAATTTAATAAAATTCCTGGAATCTTATTTTAATTTGCTTAAAGACTTAAATTTAATACAGTTATATGTATAGGTTAAAAGATACCTACATACTCTATGCGTGAGTATACAGTAGGTATACTACGATCAGTAATTAGGTTTTTGAGGAAATAATCGCGTCGGTTTCCAAATAAATCACAGTCCATCCAAAGGAACTAGTATTTACTACCATTCTAATTATAAAGTCGATATAATGAGCACTTTTTATTATACACAATATTTATATTTAAATCGTTATTGATATGTTTCTACACGATAGATCTACAACAGCACTACTAAATATAGGTATTTAGCATCTTTATCCTATAAGAGGTTATATTCGAATATCTGAAATGAAATAAATATATTCCGTTTGCATTTTACAAGTATATATACCGTTAATTCGTAAAGCATTGTATGTAAATTATGTTTACTAAATAACAAATAAATCATCATTTCCCTTGCGAGTTGTTTGACACTAGAATATGACCTACTCGAACTGACCGCAGAACCTAGGCGATATCTCTATGTAAATATGTTCTACTATTTGTTTGTAACTTAGAAGGTTCACGCTGAAGCTAAAAACCTTGATCTATTTGAGGTAAAAATACGCGCCTACTATAAAATGCTAGAAATGAAATGAGAACAATCCCGTAAATAAACATCACCTTTTTAAAATTTTCTTTAAATTAAAGACAATTTTAAATTAGTTTAATGAATGATAATTATGTAGATTTTAGTTGTTTCATTTACCCAACATAATCATTATAATATTATTGAGTAGATATTTGTAATCGGTAGGTGTAAAGGATGTTATAACTCATCAGGATCTATATTAGGACCGTGTTATTGATGTTTTGTAATCAGTATTACTTTCTATTCTTTGATTGACTATCTTGCATCTTACATAACTGCCAAACCTTTTTTTTATATGTAGGTCAGTTATATTTCTAATTGAACCTTATGGCGGCTTTGGTTTATGACCTTGAATCTGTTTTTTTTAGTTTTTCTTTACAGACAAGAAAATATGT